CATCAACATGCGCGTCGTCATTGCCATCGTCATGGTCATCATCACCATCATCACCATCATCATCATACTGAACATCACCACGATCACCGTTTTCATTACCATCATCTTTGTCCCCGTTGCCATCATGGCATGGCGGCTGCTCGAGGGCCGCGTGCGTCGGTTCTCTGTGGTGACGCCCGTCGGAGGGACGGTCGGGGTGCTGGCTTTTGGGTGTTGGACCAACTGCCTGGCATACGACACGGGCGAGGCAGCGGTGCCTCTGGCCCCTGGCTGCTGCCCGTCCCCTCATGGAAGTACTCGCGATTGCCCTTGGCATCGCTCGGACGTGCGCATTTTTTTCGGCGAGGACCATCGAGGACCATCCTGGACAATCGAGCAAAACAAACACGCACGAAACCGAACAATGCACTGGAAATGGACGTCCGAGCGACGGCAAGTGCCACGGTCGCCTGGCGCGAACGTAGTGCTGCACCAACGATGACATCGGCACGTCTGCTGTGCCGCGCCACCAGCCCGCCTGCCCTCGCGTTGCCTGTGGGCATCTTTCCAGGGTTGCGTGGGCCCCCCTTGTCGGGCCGGTCGCCATCGCCCTGTTCGGGGGGGGGGCGCTGCATCTTTTGGTGGAAGAGCCGACACCGCACCATCATCATCATCATCATCATCATCATCATCATCATCATCATCATCATCAGCACCATCATCATCGTCATCATCATCATCACCCTCTTCATCATCTTTTTCATCATCATCATCATCGTCGTCGTCGTCGACAGCATCAACCCCATCATCGTCAGCATCGTCAGCTCCAACCGCCACCAGCGACACCAGGCCTCGACAAGGGCTCTGGGGTGGGGGCCGAGGTTCGGGAATCGAGGTTCGAGGGCGTTTTGTTTCGAGTTAGCTTCGGCTTGTGTCATTGCGGGAGCGTCTGTTTCCCCGTTCTTCACGGCTGGCCGACAGTCGCGGCGCTGAGGTGTTGAATGGGTGTTGATACTTCTACGCAAGAAAATGTCACAGTCAAGGCGCGGGCCGAACAATCCTGGGGTCTCGCATACGGGCCGTCCAGACTAGTTCAAGGACCTGCTCTGGTCGTCACTCGCAACTCGAAGCAGCAGAGGACGCACAAGCACACAAACGATGTCCGCACCAAGTCGGTTCCATCAATCGTACAATTGTGCGCAGCTGTATCCTGTACTACCGATTCGCTTATCGTGTCTTGAATGTCACACGCATCTTATCTTGCCTACGCATTGCCCAGTACATGCGTCGCTAATGTTGCCAAAACACAACATGTCCGGCATCGCAGTGGTTGCCCCTTTGGAGCGCCCAGATTCACGCAAGCCCACGCAGCATAAACATCAAACAAACAACGACAGGAAACCGTCGCCGAGGGAGGAGGAGGAGGAGGAGGAGGAGGAGGATGAGGGATTGGAGGCGGATGCACTTCGATCTCCCAGGCGGGCTGAGTTGCGGCCGCTCCAACTGGCGGGCTCAAACTCTTAGCAGGCTTAGCGGGTCCCCTGGATCCAGGCTTCGGAGCAGCCGATGGCCAGAATTGGATCGGAAGCCGGGCAAGGGCTGCTAAATCCGTGGCTGCTAAAATCGACCTCTGGGAAGTTGTCTTCGTCCTTCCAGGAAGAAGCCCGTTGACTGTTTCGCGTGCCGCGCCTCATTCCGGGAAGTTGTTTTTCTTTCTGGGAGGGCCGTTTTAGTAGCCACGGTTTTAGAAGCCCTCGCCCAGCTTCCGATTGGAGGGTCTCTGCTACGTATCTGGGAGGTTTCCTCAACCGAGGCCGCCCGCGGAGCCGGCTGCTCTGGCCCGTGGGTGCTCGTCGGGGGTGCCCGGGCAGCGGCTACCTTGGCGAGCCTGTCCGCAGCGTCGTTGGGCCCGTCGCCACTCCTCGCTGCCTGGGGTCAGGGAGTCCATGTTCACATGCGCGTTGGTCTTGAGGAGCCCGGGACCGAGGGGGCCCTGGCTGGCCCCATAGAGGTCAGCCCGAGAAAAGCTTGTTTTCCCGTGGACGTCGACCGCCCTCCTTGTAGTCAACAATACTTCGGGAGGGGGAAGAGGAGCGAGGAGGAGGAGGAGGTGAGGTCCAGCGCCGATGAAGGCAATCCGTGCGGATCTCCGAGAGTCCGCGTGGAGAGCAGCAGCAGCAAGCACGGGACGGTGCTCGGCAGCAGGAGAGGTCGGGGGAAGGAGGCTGCCCCCCCGCCCTGGCGTGTGGGCCGGGACACCTCCGTGGCCGTCTGTGGCCGCCACCGCCCGGCCCGCGAAAGTGCAGCACCTGATTAGCCCCTGGTTCAAAACGAGTGCCATCGGTGTGAGCCTCGTTTGCAGAGCACTTCTCGAGGAGAGAGGGGAGGGCCCTGACTCCCAAAGACGGTGTGTTCGTGTCCGAATCCCACAGGAGCCCCCGGACCAAATTCGGGTACAACAATGAAGACCGAAGGCCAGAACATGGTTAGAGATGTTGTTTAGGTTCTCCAGCTCGTCTACAGAGAACTCTAAGTATTCTCGCAATCTGGCTGAATCAGTGCATTCGAGCAGTCTGTGCTTTAAAGTGTCTCGCGAGGCTCCGCACTGGCAAGTCCCCTCTACTTCGTAGCCTGCAGCACGCAACCTAGCCTGCGTCCAAATACACTGAGTGAGAAAGCAGACGAGCGTGGACCTGGCCTTCTTATTTACTGTGAATCAGAGCTCTAGCTATTGAAACGTCGAGGGCCTCCTGGAGGTACCTGAGTTTCAGGACGGCTTTCGAGGTGTCCTTATTTTCTGCCTGAGCCGAGGGTTCGATGCGATGACCTGAGCTTTGTGCAGCGCAAGCTTGCACTCTAGGTCGTCTTGGGCGGTAACTGCCAGCCTGGCCGCTGAGCGTTGCAACTGGCGGACGAGTACAGATTGTGCTTGATGCTGTTGTCCCAGGAGAAGGTCGTTACTAAACATCTGCAAATCGGTGTCCTTGGGGTCTCCTTTGCTCCAGCTGTCCAGGGGCCCCAAACTGTAAACCTGCACCAGGAAAGCGGCCCACCCGCAGCCAGCTGCAATCCCTCGCGTCGGATGATTGACCATCGGCACACAATCCATGGTGGCGACCAGGCGTTGGCTGCTGTACTGCGTTAAACTGACCTTACGGACTTTGCTCCTCTCTGCCAGTTTGGCGTGGTTGCTGTATTCATGATAGCTGCTGAGGTCCCACATCACAGCTCCTAAATGCAGGGACGTCTCGAGTCACTCCATTCTCAGCCTTGAGACTCTGCCGAAATCAACTTTGATGATGCTCTTGCCCGACTGGTGGGCAGTGAATCTGCGTCGGTGAGCTGATTCCCATGTTTGAGCGTATCATTGGCGGACCTTGGAACATGTTCGGTAAAGTCATGACATCATTCCAACTCCCGAAAGTGCGCCTGAGTTTAGCGAGCTGTCATGTCAGGTTGCTTGGGGATCTGCACCGAGACTACTGCTTGCAACTGCTTGGGCATAGCACCTATGGCCTCGGCGAGGTGCAAAAAGCGGCAGACCAGGCTCGCTTGGTCAGATGTCGGGCAATGGAAATGCTCGGGGTGAACGCCGTCCCACGTCGCGGATCCAGTGTGGGAGAATTGGTTGGCGGCATTTGCTAAGTACTGGGGCTCTATCGTGGGCAGCTGGGGCTCGTGGGGTCCTGGAGGTACGCGACGCCGAGGCCGTTGTTCCCCAGTGGTGTCCCAAGACTGGCCTAGTCTACCTGCTTCATGTTCGAGAGCCTTCGAGGGGCGCCCAGACCAAGAGCCTTTCCAGGGATCAGCCCGGGGGACCCACGCGTCCAGAGCGTTGGTCCATTTGTGGGCCAAGCCAGCGCTACCTTGAGCGCCTACGTGGACCCACTCCCGCCAGGCCCGAGAGGCCTCGTGCTTCTCCAAGCCGATCTCCTTCTCTATCAGCTCAGTGGCGTGGCCCAAAACCTCGTCCAACGCTTCTAGACCGAATTCGGGAACCAGGGCACCCGCTTGCACATCCAGCATGAGGGACTGGAGGCTCTGAAAGAAGAGGAGGAGGCGGAGGAGGGGGAGGGGGAGGCGGAGGAGGGGGAAGGAGGAGTAGGAGGAGGAAGAGGAGGATGAGGAGAGAGGAGGAGGAGGAGGAGGGAGAGGAGGAGGAGGAGGAGGAGGAGCAGGAAGAGGATGAGGAGGAGAGGGGGGGAGGTGGAGGAGAGGAGGAGGAGGAGGAAGAAGAGGGAGGGGGAGGAGGAGGAGGAGGAGGAGGAGGAGGAGGGAGGAGGGGAGGAGGAGGAGGAGGAGGAGGAGGAGGAGGAGGATGAGGAGGTGGAGGAGGGAGAGGAGGAGGAGGAGGAAGAGGAGGCAGAGGAGGAAGACGAGGAAGAGGAGGATGAGGAGGAGGAGGAGGAGGAAGAGGAGGAGGAGGAGGAGGCGGAGGATGAGAAGGACCTGGAGGACGGAGGGAGGGAGGGAAGAAGGGAGGAAAGGAGGGAGGGAGGAAGAGGAGGAGGAGGAGGAGGAGGAGCAGGAGGAGCAGGAGGAGGAGCAGCAGCAGCAGCAGCAACAGCAGCAGCACCAGCAGCAGCATCGCAGCGAGCATCCAGGACGTGGAGGTGGAGCACTAGAGGATGAGGAGGTGGAGGAGGAGGAGGAGGCGGAGGAGGAGGAAGAGAGGAGGAAGAGAGGAAGAGGAGGAGGAGGAGGAGGAGGAGGAGGAGGAGCAAGAGTTGGATGCGGGGGACACCTCCACACCACCAGGCTTAGCTGATGTCTGCGGCCTGGCTGGCGCATACTCAGAAGTCTTCAGTCAGACCCTGCACTCTTTGCGCGTCTCCTTGACTCTCCTTTTCCTTGCTGCGCCCGCCAGGCCGGATTCGTTTTCGCCTTGTTTGACTCGGCAGACTGCGCTTATCTTTCAGCACCAGAACGCGACGAGTTTGCGCTTCACGCCTGGGCAGCGTGCAGGAGGAAGAGGAGGCGCAGCAGGAGCAGAGACGACGCCCACGGCCGGCGCCTGGCAGGACTGGCGCGCGTTCCGCGCGCGCCTGGTCGAGCGAGCTGCGCGCGGCGCGCCAGCCGCGGCGGCTCCCGCCGCGCGGGGCTGGATCCACGAGACGCCCCTCATCGAGCGAGGCCTGCTTCCCCCAGGGGCCGACTCATCGATGCGATGTTGGCTGATCCTCCAAGGGTATCCATTACCGACATTTTTCAAAACCTGGCTGGTGATTCCAGACGCGTGGCGTAGCCCCACGGGCCCATCCAGAAACGATGCCCAGACGAGCTGCCCTGATCAGGGAAGATGGTGAGCATGCAGAGGAACAAGGGCTAGAGAAGCCGTCGTACCCCAAGAGGGGAGTGAAGGATGGGGAATCTGAGGAGGAGGGGGCTGAGGCAGAGGAGGAGGAGGAGGAGGAGGAGGAGGAGGAGGAGGAGGAGATGGAGGAGGAGGAGGAGGAGGAGGAGGGAGGAGGATGGTGGAGGAGGAGGAGGAGGAGGAGGAGGGGGAGGAGGAGGGGGAGACGATGGAGGGAGGAAGAGGAGGAGGAGGAGGAGGGGAGGGAGGAGGAGGAGGAGGAGGAGGAGGAGGAAGAGGTGGGGGAGGTGGGGGAGTGGGGGGGAGGAGGTAGGATGAGGGATGGGGACGACGTGGGATGGGGAAGGAGGGGGTGAAATAGGCGGATGAGGAAGAGTAGGAAGAGGAGGAGGAGGAGGAGGAGGAGGAGGAGGAGGAAGAGGATAATGGTGAGGTTGGGTGCTTGGTGAGTTCTTGGGGCCTCTTGGCGGTCCCAGGGGCCTTTTGCGTAACTCGGGGAGCCTCTTGGGGGCCTTTTGGTGTCTCTTGGGAGCCTCTCGGAGGCCTCTTGGGCGCCTCTTGGGGCGGACCTCTGTGGCGCCTCTTGGGCGCCTTATTGGGACGCTCTATGGAGCCTTGGGGGTGCTCTTGGAGCCATCTTGGATGCCATCGCAAAAAGAAGGGGAGGGTCGCCATTAGCACTGCCCCTCGAGAGGAACGCTCTTGGGCGCTCTTGGGGCCGTCTTGGGGCTCCCTTGGACCTCTTTGGGTCTCCCTGTGGCCCTCCTGGAGATATCTTGAGGCCTCGGAAGGCCATCGAAAGCAAAAAGTTGAGAAGCTAGACTTCACTGTTTTTTCTTAAGTGTTGGAAGGGTTGGGTCTCTTGGCGGCCTTCTGAGGAGGCTCCGTGGCCACCTGGAGCCGTCCTGGAGTATTCCTGAGGCCTCTTGGAGCATCTTGGGAGCCATATTCAGGCATCTCGGAGGTCATCTTGGGCTCTTCTGAGGCGATTTTGGAGCCGTCCTTGACCATCTTGGACGCTCCAACCCGTCGCGAACCCCCCCCCGTCCAAGTCCAGGGGAGGGGGTAAGGGGGATGGGTAAACCCTTCCCCAGAGGGGTAGAAAGGGGGTTGGAAGAGGAAGCGATCTAGACTACCTGCGCCCAGAGTTCTGGTGGGATTCAATACTGTTTGTCTCTTGGGGGCCTCGTGGGAGTCCTCTTGGACGCATGTTAGGGTTTCTTGGAGGCTTCTTGGGTTGTCTGGAAGCCATATTTGGCGTCTTAGACTGATCGTTCGGCGACTCTGGGCCCTCTCGGATCGTTTTGGGGGCCTCTTGGGGCCCTCTTGGACCATCCAGGGATCCTCTAGGGCCCGAAACAGTCATGCGACAAGCCGCCGCGGACCGCGAGAGATTTGGCCCTCTGGGGCCCGGGGCCCTGAAGACGCCTTGGTCCAGAGGATTGGGGATTACAACTATATTAAACATTTATAGAAGGGTGTGCGTGTATATCTAGAGTATATACATGAACATCTACTAATCGATTCATGTATTCGTGTATGTGTCAGAGTGCCCTGTCTTCCACGATGTCGGCCCTCAGGGTCCGTGCTGCTCGCCAAGCCGGGCGAGCACCACGTCCTCGGCGAGCGCACGCACTTCCACAAGGCCGTCGTGCTGCTCCTCGGCGGCGACGGCCGCGGCGGGCACTCCGGCATCATTCTCAACCGGCCGACGTCGGGAGCCGCCGTGCTAGGCTGGGGCGGGAGTCAATAGGGTTAGTTCGGGCGTGTCCCTCTACAGGAGGAAGATTCAAAAACAGTCAAACAGTATTTTAATTGTTTTTGTTGACCATTTTTATGTTTCCCCAAAATCCGCCTGTAGGGGGACATGCCCGACCTAACAATAGGGTGACGAAGAATGGCACAAACATAAGAACTCGGAGCTCCGTGCGGATTTGTCGGATCCGCGCTGGACCCCCCTGGCGGCGCCTCCGGCGCCGCCCCTGGCGCTTTCCGCGCGCAAGGGAAGGGTCCAGTGCCGATCCGAGAAATCCGCGCGCACCTCCGAGTTTTTATGTTTGTATCATTATCCGTCCCCCAAGTCAACCGTTGGAGCAGTGCACGGCAGGGGGTGCCTGGCCGTCTTCTATATCAGACAGTGAGTCTCAGAAGCTTCCGCTCGTGTGGCGTTGACTGCGTAGCGCCCCATGGCTCGCGCGCAGCGCTCAACAGCGCCGAATAGCGCCCAAGCAGCACCCAATAGCTCCATGCGCGAGAGAGATGCGCTGCGTCCGTTTTGCTTGCTTTTGGGCGCGCTACAGGAGACGACCGGAAGCTTCCGTGACTTGTTTTCTGCGTAACCTATCGTCACCAGGCGCGTTCCGCTACTCGCAAAGTGCATATTCCCACACGTCCGAAACAAAAGCATGCCTTCCTCTATACAAAGTATCGTGCAAACCCCGCTGCGGGTCCAGGCCATTTGCAAGTAGCTACTGTGCGAATGCTGGAACGCGCTTGCCCATATAGCAGACCGACCCCCCCAACGACGGCCCCCTCGCCTTGCTCCGAGACGCGGGCAAGCGGCCAGAGGGGGGCCTCGAGGGCGACGGGGTCGTCGTGAAAGGGGGTCGTCATGGAAGGTGATGGGCCAACATTCCACCACCACTACCATATGTAGGACGGGGGAGAAGGGAGGATGAGGAGGTCCCCCTCCTCCTCATCCTCCTCCTCCGCCTCCGCCTCCGCCTCCTCCTCCTCCTCCTCCTTCTCCTCCTTCTCCTCCTCCTCCTCCTCCTCCTCCTCCTCCCCCTCCTCCTCCTCCTCCCCTCTCCCCCTCCTCCCCTCCTCCTCCTCCTCCTCCTCCTCCTCCTCCTCCTCCTCCCCTCCTCCTCTTCTCCTCCTCCTCCTCGTCCTCCTCCCCCTCCTCCTCCTTCTCCTCCTCCTCCTCCGCCTCTTCCCCCTCTCCTCTTCCTCCTCCTCCTCCTCCTCCTCCCTCCTCCTCCTCCTCCTCCTCTCCTCATCATCATCATCATCATCATCATCATCACATCATCTCATCATTCTCTCCTCCTCTCCTCCTCCTCCTCCTCCTCCTCTCCTTCCTCCTCCTCCTCCTCCTCCTCCTCCTCCTCCTCCTCCTCCTCCTCTCCTCCTCCTCCTCCTCCTCCTCCTCCTCCCCCTCCTCCCTCTCCTACCTATGGTAGTGGTGGTGGTGGTGAAAATTGGGCCCACCAGAAGGGGCTCGTCATGGGAGGAGCCGGGCAGGCCGCGCCCGAAGACGCGGGGGGCGCTCGAGGGTGGCCACAGCGTGCCCCCAGTAGCCACGCTGCCCGCCCCCAGGAGGCGCTGGAGAGGCGCACCTGTCGGGGGCAGCGACAGGGAGGGATCGGCATAGCCCCGGGGAGAACCATCGAGCGATCGCCGGAGCGTCGAACGCCCCAGGACGGAGCCCGCGCGTGGCCATTCGTCGGGTTCACGAGAGACGGTCGTCCATGCAGACGGGGGTCAGCCAGGGCACCGGGCCGCAGGATCCTGCGGAGCCAGGGGTTGTGAGGGGCAACGATAGGGGGGGATGGGCATGGGGGGGATGCATCGACCCACAATCGCCCACTGGTCGCCGACAGGGGCCCGATAGCCCCAACCTTCCCAGGAAGCTGCGGGTTCACTATCGGGGGTCTATCGCCGATCTATCGGCGATGCATCGCCGATTCCAGGTCGATACATACATCCCTCCCGTATGACAGTCCCCCCTTATCTTTGCCCCTCAACCTGTCCCAACGCCGCGTTTCATGATGTTCCCGGCGTGGCTTTTCCGCGAGGAAGGCAGGACTGCAGCGAGCGCGCTCCACTCCTCGCAAAGTGCCTACTCGCAGATGTTTGAGTAGTATTTGTTCGCCTCGATGTAATCGACTGTAGATCCCCCGCGGCGGATCGAGGCCATTTGCGAGTAGTCACTTCGCGAGTAGTGGACGCGCTTCTCTAGAATTGCATACAATCATCGGCCTGTCCTAAGGAACGATGAATACGGAACGACGCCCCTCTTTTCCTTGGGAGTAACGCACAAGGAACGCTGCATAATACATAAAGCATCTGAGGAATTATCGATGACGCATGCGAGCCTAAGGAACGACCGAGCCCCTTTGGAAAAGTAGGTGTTCCTTATTCAAGCCGCCTACTGTAGGGGCCGGTCCACAAGAAACCTGCCACAAGAAGCCCAACCCTGAGACCCCAGGACGTTCTCTGATTTATGGGGTGGGAACGTCACGCTGTCCATCGCAAAACCATCGAGACCCACGAAACCCAAGGAACCACTGGTGGCAAGCAGGGTGTTTCCTGAAATGGGCCCCCAACTGTGCCAACTGTGCCGACTCGACGCTGACTCGACGCCAAGTCGGCGCTGAATCGACTGTAAGCGGGGGGTGCAGAAACTTTAGTTGTTCATGATGGGGACCTTCCTGGCGCCACTCGCTCCACTCGTGCGTCGAAGCTGCGCCAAACGCCCGTCGACTCAAGTCGAACCTGAGTCAAGCTTTACGTCGAGCGCGTCCCTCTACTGGGGGAGTATTCAAAAATAGTCACAAAATAGCCTAGGGACGATTTTTCGACTATTTTATGTTTGCCTTTTTGGGTGTATTGTTTGAGCATTTTTAACTGTTCGTCCAAAGTCTCCCTGTAGGAGGGCAGGCGCGTCTTAAGTCAAGCTTGAATCGAACCTGAATCGAATCTGAAGCCGCCCACTGTACGCATACACCTTCGGAGCTTGAATCGAACCTGCCGACGAGAGAGAGGATGAGAAGGAAGGGGGCGCGGCCTCCTCATCCTCCTCCGCTTCCTCTTCCTCCTCCGCTTCCCTCTCCCTCCTCCTCCTTTTCCTCCTCCTCACCCTCCTCCTCCTCCTCCTCCTCCTCCTCCTCCTCCTCCTCCGCCCTCTGTAGCCATACACCTCCGGAGCGCCGCGCGGGGGCTGCTCGGACCCTGCGCCCGGGGAGCCCCCGGCGCCTCCCTCCTCCCTGCTCCGGCGCTCCTCCTGGCGCGCCGCTCCGGCCGGCGGGCCTCTGGCGCCGACCCGGGGAGAAGTCCGCGCGGACCTCCAGTAGATGGACAATACATTCGAACCCTCACACATTCGAGGGAGATTCTAAATCACCCCCGCGCCCCCGACATCAATGTTGATCTCAGCAAATCGGGGTTAGAATATTTATGTCCACTCACGCCCCCCCCGTTGCCACGCCATCAATATTAATTTGGGGGGGTCCGGAGGGCATCTTGGGCCACAGGGTTCGAATGTAATGTCCATGTACGGTCCCACGGGGTATAGCCAGGACACCAGGTAAAGGCCAGGTTTGCCGTATGGCTGGTGTTTTTCTGGTGACGGCAGTTCCGGTTCGTGGAACAGGGCGGGGGGGGATCGTCCCCCAGTGCACATCATTATAAACCAGTTTCCACTAAACCCAGTGCTGCCAACGCCCGATCCCACGGCTTCTCTTGGCAGAGCTCGGACGGGTGCCTATGTCTTCCTCGGCGAGGGCCACCGAGGTGCATCTTTTTGGGATGATGTTCAAGAAATGCACGCACGACATCGAACAAGTGCACCGGACATGGGCGTCCGAGCGCAGGGCTTGCGTCGTGGCTTTGTCGTGCCTGCCTCGGCTTGTGATGTTCCAACCCACTTTGGCCTTGATCGCCAGGAAGAATTCCGAGCACCAGGAAAGTGCAGAAAAATTGGAGGGCTTCCACGCGTCGGGCCCCGGGAGCTACTCGTTCGGCACTGTCTCGACACTGCCTCGACACTCTTTCGACACTTTTCTGGGTGCGGTGTCGTCACTGTTTCGACACTGTTTCGACACTGTGTCGACATTGTTCCGACATTGTCTCGAGACTGTCTCGACTTTCTCTCGACTCGGTTTCGAAATCACTTCTTGGATGTGGTCTGTAAGTACGGTAGGAACAACATAGTCCTCGGCGAGAGCCACCGAGGTGCATCTTGGATCATTGTCGAAGAATAAACACAAAACGTCGACACATGCACGGGACCTTGACATCCGAGCGCAAGGTTCTTGTTTGGCACGCCTTCCTCGGCGAGGGCCACAGGATCATTTTCGAACAAGAAACGCGCGAAATCGAAGAATACACCGGACATCGACGTCTGAGCTGCATCTTGGATCATCTCCGAAAAATAAGCGCACGAAATCGAAAAATGCTCTGGACATGGACGTCCGAGCGCAGGGCTTCTGGAATGTTCTTGTTGATGTTGCTCTCAAGTCGGGCCTTTCCCTCTACAGGGGAAAATTCAAGAAATAGAAACAAGATAGTCTGGGGACGATTATTTGGCCTTTGTTGATCATCTCTTGACCAGTTCCAGGGGTATTTTCGGGGCCCCTCTCATTTTTCGTCCACACTCCGCCCGTATAGGGGGGCACGCCCGACCTAAAATGCTACTGGGATTTCCGGCCGACAGGCGACGCAGACCTGGCGGTGTGGTACGGCGGGCCCAGCCAGGGCATCGGCCAGCCGGGCACCGAGAAGTACATCTCGGGGAAGCGTAAGACCCGAGAGCGCTGGATCTCGGGTTGGCCGACGCTTTTTGACGAGCGCGTCCTGGATTTTGACGGTCCAGTTTTCGTAAGGTGTTTGCAGCGGGAGCTCGCGTCAAATTTCAGACTGGGCCTCGTCATTTTCATGATGGCCCCGTCAGGCCAACCCGAGTCCCCCGAACCCGAGCCTTACGTCTTCTCGAACATCGCGTGCCTGCACGCCCGGCCGGAGCTGGCGACCCCCGGGGCGCAGAGCCCGGAGGAGGGCCAGTGCAGGGCAGTGGCGGCCCTCCCGCCTCGCCGGGATCCGCCAAGGATTGGTCCCTGGGCCCCGCCACCCCCCCAGGTCAGGTCCAGTCGAGTCCGACTGTGCATCCTGCACGAACGAAATGGGCACGGAAAGAATGGTGGGTACAATGCCCAACAGCAGTTCCTGCTCATTTTGAACAGGGCTCGCTGTCCGCGCCGTCGCGGTCTGTGTCCATTCGAAACGGAAGGCCGCCCGCCCAACAGCGGCCGCTGTTGGTTTGGGACACCATTTGTTGTTGGGCATTGTACCCATTCTTTCCGTACCCATTTCGGGCGTCCAAACTTGGGCCCCGCCCCCCCAAGTCAGGTCCAATCGAGGCCGACTGAACATCGCCGATGCATCACCAAGGTTTTAGGGAGCCCACGGAGGACACGTACGCGTCAACCCACGTGCACGAACGCGGTCCCCCAGGCTGCGAGGCCGGCCGCGTGGTACGGACGTTCGCGCAAGGCGTGCTTTCGAAATCAAGTAGGGGCGAAGCGTCCTGGCGTGCCTCCAGGCCTACCACAGAATGTTCGAAGGACCTTTTGTGGTCTCCACGAAATGCTCTCGGAACAATTCTGGCTGGGACTGTCTTGTTTTGACACGTCGGGTTTATGTTCTAAGAACACTGTTTTGTCCTTAGAACATTTTTGGGTTCTAAGAACATGTCGTGGTAGGCCGGAATGCCAGGACGGCCGGTCCCTGCTCAACCAAGGGGCCCGTCCTGACCCGTCCTCGTCGGTCTCAAGTTTCTGAAGCCTCGCAGAATCACCTGGATTCCATTCTCAGTGTATCGACTGGCGTCGATCAGCGTCTCGTCATCGATGAGCCGGCGTCGAGTCAGCGCCGAGTCAGCGCCGATCCGCCGATCCGATTCATTTCGATCGCCGAGCCGTCTCTAGATTCGATTCGGGGTCCTCCGGCTCTGGAGCTCTGCACCTTGGGCTTCTGCCTATTTCACCGATCTGTGACGGCCGTGGGGGCCTGAAATTGGGCGGAAGGCGCTCGGTGCGAGGAAATCGCCGCCCTCGGATCTTGGGGAGGGCTGCCGTTGCCCAGATTGTCCGACTTCTTGGTTCTGTACAACGCGGCGTCCCCGGAAGCCCCGACCTTCTCCCCAGGGCTGGTCCTGCATCGCGAGCCATCGTTCGCTGGACCTGGGGCCCGACGAGGGCCATCAGAGACCGGCAACGGCGAAACACTCCCCTGAATCCCGACGTCGGGACACGGGCTCCCTCCAAAGCAATACTCCCCGGCCTGCACCGGGGAATTTGTCTGTTTTCATTGTTCCGCCGATCGGCCCGGGCCCTCGCAGCCCCCGCTCCTCCCCCCCCCCAATGGAGTAGAGCTTGGCTGTATTTGGCGCCTGCGTCAAGCATGCGGAGGTTCCCCCATGAGACGCACTGATGCAACCAGTCGCGCTGAGCAGAGCCAGCCCCCCCCCCTCCCCCCTCCCCCCCTCTTCCGCCCAATGTCGAAACGCCGAACAAGAAAGAGTTTGCTTGATCGCGAAAAATCACGACCGGAGCCATAGACCCCGTGTTTCTGCCGCATTCCGAGACGGACCGATGTGGGATGGCCACGGGGCCCGAAGCTAGATTTCAGTCGGGCACGTCCCTCTACAGGAGGAATATTCAAACATAGTCTGAAAAATAGTCATGGGACGTATTTGGTGGACTATGTTTGCATTGTTCTTGCATTGTTTGATTATTTTCTTCTTGGTCAACAATCCCCCTGTAGGAGGATATGCCCGACATAAAGCTGGACGAGAATATTGGGCTTCAGAAGGTAGCAGCGCCCAAAGCTCCCACGCTCCCAAAACTCCCAGTAGCACGCCGCTGCCTCGACCTCGTTGGGTGTGAGGCCTCGGGGCTCTCAAGGTGTCTAAGGCTACGTCTTCTTCGTGCGGATTCCTTTCTGCTTCAGTCCAACACTCGTCTTTCTCAACGGCGGGACGTGCTCGTTTCGCCCCTTCCCTCGTTCCGTGTTCGTCCCGCTTCCGTGTCGGTGCCTGTCCAGGCTTGCCCCAGAGCCTCGGCGCCCCAGCTCGGCACCAGAACGAGCCTCGAGCGAGAACCAGGGGAGCGCTAGGCCTCCCTGCAGGGCCCCTGTGGCCCCGCGCCCGAACCTCGGCCCTCCTCCGCACGAATCATCCCCGGCCTCTACCTGATCTCCGCGGCGGACGCCGGCGCGCACCTCGAGGCCGGGCGGGCGGCGCCCGCGGAGTTCGTGCTCTGCGTGGGGCGCTGCGAGTGGCCCCCGGGCCAGCTGGAGCTCGGGGAGGGGAGCGTGGTCGGAGGCCTGCTCGGATCACCGCGGGGGATTCAGAGGTCGCCGAGCGCGTCCCTCTACTCGCAGAGTGCCTAATTATTCGCAAGCGTCCGAACGACACATGTCCGCTTTCGATGTAATGTCTACCGTAGGCCCCCCCCCGGCGGATCCAGGCCATTCATGCGAGTAGTTTTCTTTTTCGAGTAGTGGAGTGCGCTCGTCCAAGAGGGGCTGAGGGGGTTTCAAGTGGATGATGACGTGGGCTATGCCTGGCCCAGCCTGGCGCGCAAGCGGGCTGCGAGAGTGCCCTGGGCAGCCGAATTTTCAGGGGGGGTACTTACACTTTATCTCCAGGCCAAGTGGGTGGAGCCAACCTGCATCCCCTCCCCCCTTAGGTGGACTGCCCCCCAGATGCTGTAGGCTGGGGAGGGGCAGCTCTGGAAGACCCACTTCGTGTCGCAACATGCGCTTTTCGAGTGGGGAGTAGGAGGAGGCGGAGTAGGCGGAGGAGGAGGAGGGGCTGCAAGAGACCTTGTGAGGCCAGCGGTTACAAGGGGAGGGTCGGGACTGGGAGCTCGCGACGGGACATGTCTGCCTGGAATTGCTCAAGCCGTTCGGTAGCCGCTCACGGGAAGCTTGCATGTCTTCCTTCTTGCCTCAACGTTTCGAGTGCACTCGCGTGCGCTACCGTGTGGTTATCGAGGAGAGGGCGCCGAGCTCGCGCCGGTAAAGCGTCGATTCAGCGTCGACTCGCGTCGGGTAGTGTCGACTCGCGCGATGACCAGGAGGGCGGTAAGGGCGGCTTTTATAAGCTGCTCGTTGTTGTCGTTGTTGTTGTGACAGTTGTGATCGTTGTGATCGTTGCCGTTGTGACCGTTATCGTTGTCGTTGTCATCGATGTCGTTATCGTTGCGATCGTTCTCGTTGTGATCGTTCTTGCCGTTCTCCTTGTTATCGTTCTCGTTATCGGTGTGATCGCTGTCGTTCGGTTGATCCTCCCCCTCATCTGCCTGCCCCAGGACTGTGGCCCCTACTGTACGGGAGGCTTCCACGAGCGTTTTCCGAGGTGGGTCGTCCAGCCGTGGTGACGAGATCTGACGCCGTGCAGAAGTTGCAGCATCGCGAGAGGTCACTTTGGCAGGGCTCGCTTCGATTCCTCCGGTTCGATCCCATTCGATGTCGATGGCTCCCCCCATGCGGGACGGGAAAATGACCACAGCCACTGCTTCTTGTTTGCGCCGCCTTCCAGCCGGCCGAAAAAGAAGCAGTGGCTGTGGTCATTTCCCTGGTGCCATGCTTCACGAAAATGACCACAACCACTGCCTTGCTTCTGCTGGCTGGAAGGCGGCAACGAAAGAAAAGCAGTGGTTGTGGTCGTTTTCACGTCCCGTACCCCAGGAGCGGGAGCTCCGCTCCGGCCAGGCCTGGACGCTGGCGGCCGCGAGCGCGGAGGCCCTCCTCGCCAGCCTGCCGCGGCGGCGGGCCCTGGAGCGCTGGGGCCGCGGCGGCGGCGCGGGCCCGGGGCGGGCGGCGGCGAGCGGCGTGTCCGCGTGGAGGCTAGCGGGGCTATGAGGTTCACGCCTGCTGGTAGCCTTGGTCGCCAGAAGAGATCTCGAGCACGGGGAAGGTATACCGAAGCTGGAGAGGTAAGGGCCAATAAGCGCCCTTCGAAGAATAACAAACTGAAGAAGCAGAAACGTTTGGCGCTCCGCGCGGAGTTCTCGGAACCGCGCTGGGCGGAGCGCGCCAGGGAGGGGGGCCCAGCGCGGCTCCAGGAACATCGCGCAGAGCACCGAACGTTCATGTGTATGTCGCCTTGTCTTTCGTAGGGAGGCAAAATTGCAAAGCCCCCATAGACGTTGTCGTCGGTTCTCGGCGGTCTTCCAGCCCCGGGATGCTCTCCCCTCCCGGGTAAGTGGCACCATGCGAACCCTACCCCACCACCACACGGTTTTCCGGGGGGAGCTAGGGTTCACTTCGTTCGGGACCTCCCGATCGGAGTGAGCCCCAACTCCAGCCCCAATCGTGGGGTGTTGGGGTAGGGGATCGCATGTGGCCACAGGGTCCTGAGGGAAACGGGTTCTGAGAGAAGTAGCCCCCAGACTTGGCACAATCGGGGCAAGGCCTAGCGACTCGAAGAAGAAGAAACGTTACAAACATAAACTTTTTGCGCTCCGCGCGGATTTCTTCGATCGGCGCATGGCCCCCCCTTCACCGGCAGCACCTCCGGCGCCGCCCCTGGCGCGCTCCGCTCGCCAGGGAGAGGGGCCCAGTGCGTATCCAAGAAATCCGCGCAGATCGCCAAAAGTGTGTGTGTGTGTGCGTGTGTGCGTGTGTGTGTGTGTGTGATACAATTTTTTGGCGAAGCGCCCTGACGTTGTCGTCGGTTCTTGGCGGTCTTCCAGCCTCGGGACGCTCTCCAAGAGCTACGCCTCTCTGCGAGCGTTCTATAGGGGGATCCGAATCGCCCCAATCGGCCGCCGGAGAGAAGAGCTATTACCAGAAATTAGCGAGGCTGGTTCCCCACAATCAAGCAGTGGCGAGGCGTCTCAGCTTGCAAATAGGCCCCACCGAAACATATTCCAAAACGTTTCGTGGCTAAGGACGTGGTTGGCTGAGATCGTTTTGCGTCAGTGCCAAAGCTCGCTGCTTTAAGAACATTGCTTTGTTTTTGGATTTTTTGTTCGAACAGGCCTATGGGAATGCCTCGACGGTCGGTCCTTGCTCAACGATCCCCAGACCTCAACGTATGAGAACGAAGCAGTGCGACAGGTTTTCGTCGTTCCCGGCCTCTGGGGGTCCTCGGCGGGTTTGGGCGCCGCGTAATGGGGGGGTCATAAATGGGGGGGTGGCGAGGGTGGTTCGAAACGGTACCCAAACGGTACCTAAACGAGCCCCCTGGGGCTCTGGAGGGGCCCGAAAGGGGCACGAAAGGGGACATTTTCTGTTCCCCCCATTTGTGACCCCCCCATTAAGCCACGCCCAACGGGTCCCGGGGCCGTCAAATAAGCACGGCTCCGCATACGACGCCGGATTTGGGACTGCGGAAAGGATAGAGTTTCTGGGCACCCCGTGTCGAACTAATCCACACTCTGCAGACATCTTGGCTCCACCGCTGCCCTGGCCTCGTTCTCGCCCGCCGTCGTCGCCGCGGCTGGAGCATCCGCGTCGGACAGCACCCCAGGAGGGGTCCAGGGAGCAGCGGTCGGCGGCCATGAGACGGGGTCAATGCGAGCGTTGGGCAGCCAGAGCGCCAGATCTTGCCGGATCCTGCAGGGCCAGGGTCGCACTGACCCGGGCTTGGGCGCAGGATCCCGCAGGATCTTGCAGGATCCTTCGCGTTGGCCCGGGTTTGGGTGCAGGGCCTTGCAGGAGTTCTGCAAGGCCTGACGGTCCCGGGTTTGGATTGACCCGGGTCAGAAGATCCCCGAAGCGGTATTGGCATGTTGCTCGGGCGGACGGCAGCAGGGGGGCAGCACACGCAGCTGTCTGGATGCAGGACTGCAGGGAGCTCCCCCGCAAGAGGGCCTGAGCGGGCCCCGCGCCTGCCACCGCGGGCCCAAGCGGTGCACGAAGGGCGCACTGTTCTTAGAGGCTTGTTTTTTTGGGGACCTTCCTTCGGGTTGACCCAAGAGGGGGTCCGACGACAACCGAGCATTCTTAGGGTGGAGGGACATCGGTGAAATCTGACATGCCGTTTCGATTGATTCTCGATGCTCCCCAAGCAGAGCTTGCCTCTGTAGGGGTCCTAGCAGATTCTAAAAAGTTAGGATTTGTGCGGCAGGATTTCGGTGGCCGGTGGCCGGGTGCCTGGGTTCCCGTGGGCGCCCGGTGCCTTAGGATTTCGGTGGCCCGGTGCCCGAGTGCCCGTGGGTGCCCGGTTGCCCGGGTGCTCGGGGGTGCCCGGAGTGCCCAGGGGTGCCCCGGTACCCTACAGCCATATAGCTCTATAGCCTTATAGTTCTATCGCCCTATAGCCCATATAGCCCATATAGCCTTACAGCCCAAAAGCCCTATAGCCCTAGAGCTCTATAGCTCTATGGCCCTAGAGCCCTAGAGCCCTAGAGCCCTAGAGCCTTATAGCTCTAGAGCCCTAGAGCCCTATGGCCCTATAGCTCTATAGCCCTATAGCCCTATAGGCCTATAGCCCTCTTGTCCTATAGCCCCTATAGCCCAATAGCCCTATAGCACTATACCCTTATACCCCTATAGCCATATAGCCCTACAGCCCCATGGCCCTGTAGCCCTATAGTCCTATAGTCCCATAGTCCCAACAAGTATCTGATTGCTTTTTTTCTCCGGTATTTCTTTAATATGCAATATCACAAGACGGATTGGTTTTCGAGGTGCAAAAGCCCATATGGATTTCACCTGAGCCTTCCACCCCAAGGAAATGCTCAGGACAGGGGGGTGGTGCAATAGATTTGGTGCAATAGGTCTGTGGGGTTGCAGTACATTTGGGGCTTGCAGTACATTCCGGGTCGCAGATGTATTGCTGGACTTTTGCGTGCAGCCCATTATTTGCAATGCAATGCAGTACAATTCTCCAGCGCAGTACGTTTGCAAGCCAGTTGCCCCAAATCTATTGCACCACCCCTTTTCAGCTGGACCCCCTTTTGGGTCTCCCAAATTCCTGGGGCCCATGTGCCGGATCTGTCCGACTCCAGTTCTTTGCCAGCTCGATGCAAGGTCGTCTCAGATTCGGATTCAAATTCGATTCAGGTTTGACTCAGGCTCGACTCGAGTCGACGGACGCTCTCGACGCAGCTTCGACGCACGAGTGGAGCGAGTGGCGCCAGGAATGCCCCCAGAGTGAACAACTAAAGTTTCTTCACCCCCCGCTTACAGTGAGCGGCTTGAATAAGGAACACTTACTTCTCAAGAGGGGCTCGGTCGTTCCTTAGGCTTGCATGCGTTATGTATCGTTCCTTCTCTGCGTTATGTCGTTCCTTACTGCCCCCGCGTTGGCGAGCACCCGAGGTACCTTTTTGTTGGTCTCCCCCGAGGCGGCTCTGCCGCAGGCTCGCCCCGGGAGGGGCCGATGCGGCCGCGCCGCCGCCGCCGGACCCCGCGGACCTCGGGGCAGCCTACAGGAGGAATATTAAAACATAATAAAAAATATGATGGGGACGATTTCTTCACTATTTTGACAATTTCGGGGGGATTTGTTTTACAACTTGCAATTTTCTTCCAACATCCGCCTGTAGGGGGACATGCCCGACCTAAGCCCAGCCTTGAGATCTGGACGTCGCAGCCAGATCTCCAACGTTTTGAACAATTCAGTCCAGAGGTGTTCCGTCGTCCCCTGCCTCTCTGGGGGCCCTCGCCGGGCCCTGGGGCCGTCAGGAATTCGCCCGCGACGGGAAACCGGCCTTGGGGAGGGGGTCGGGGTTTCTTGGACCCCGTAATTTTACTTCGGCCAGACGCAAGAGTGACCCTTCGCCGGAGTGACCTCTGGTGCGGGCACATGGGGGTTCCCCGCTCGCCGAACGCAATGCGGTAGTAGCGTCATGCACGCTATTGTTTGGTCGCCCCGCGAACTCCCAAAAGCCGCGCACCAAAGGTCACTCTTACTCAGGGTCACTCCTGCGTGTAGCCTTAAGTCGGGCCTGTCCCTCTACAGGAGGAATCTTGAAACATAGTAAAAAAATAGTGTGGCGACGATGTTTGACTAATCTTGAACATGTTGGGGCATTTTTTGATATGTTTTATGTTTGGTCCAAAATCCGTCTGTAGGGGGACACGCCCGACGTAAGTGTAGCCGCGTATTGAATAAATCAAGGCGCCCGATGTTTGGGTGTGCTCTCTATCGGGGAAACACTCCATTAAGCTGGAACTCAGGGCTGCCGATTTTTTGACAAGCGCGTCCTTGATTTTGACTGTCCCGTTTTCGTGGGATGTTTGCAGCGGGAGCCCGCGTCAAATTTCAGATTTGGTCTCACCACTTTAACCTTCCTAAGGGTACCCTTGCATCCTTGCCTCCTCGGTCCATCCTTGGCCACTTTCGTGGGCCGCGCCCCGCTCGCAGAGCTTCGAGGTGGGCTTCCAAGGCCCCTGCATCCTTATCGCGCCTCCTTACTACACAGGTTGACCGAACCCGCGTCTTACGTCGCCCCGACTTGTACGCTCGGCGTCGTCGCCCCGGGCGTGGGCCTGGGGCCCTCGCAGCTCTCGTTCTCGGCTGCCAGAGAGGGGCGCCGCAGGAGGCTTGGGTCCTGGGCTCCTCTGCTGCTGAGTCGAGAGGCAGACACGCTGGGCGTTGAAAATAGGTCAGAGTGAGGAAGATGAGGAGGGAGGAGGAAGAGGAGGAGGAGGCGGAGAAAGAGGGAGAGGAGAAGGAGGAGGAGGAGGAGGATATCAGAGTGATGAGGAGGGTGGTTCGGCTGAATGTGCTTGCTTCCACGGAGGGGGGGGGAGCTTTGGGCGGGAAACGTATCCACATCAACGGCCTCGAGGGCGAAAGCATGGGCCGCGACCCTGGGTGTGTTGCTTAAGTGCGGATCCGTTGTGAGGGTTCCGCTTGTTGCGTCTCTGTTGCTGTTGTTGTTGTTGTTGTTAGTTGTCGTCCTCCCCCCCGCGACCTGGCCCGCGACCCACCCGCGACCCACCCCGCGACCCACCCGCGACCCACCCCGCGACCCGCTCGCGACCCACCCGCGACCCCAGGCAGACACGCTGGTCGTTGAAAATATGTATTTCTTGATTCTCAGATCCCAGTCTATTTCGAGCGCCTTCCTACTTTCGGAGGTTGATCGGCATCCTGCCCTGACAAGTCGACAAGCGAATGGGCCGTTTTTGGTTCGCGGGAGGGCGTCGCGGCCATCGTTTTTGTGGGTTCAGGTCTGTCGGTTTCGGTCGTAGTCAGTTTTCACTAAAGGGTGGTTTACTAAAGGGAGGTTTGTCCACCGCCGATATTTCAAGAACCGAAATGCTTTCTCTATATTTTTTTCTCTGGTAAGGCCTGAACCCAATCTACTTGATCCGCAGTCCTACTTCATGCTTTTGTTTAACCTACCTGCTTCCGACCGTCGTAAACGCCATTCCGCCGACCCCCAGGAGAGGGGAGTCCACGGTTGAGACGTCGTGGGCTTCTAGGGCTCTATTTGGGGATTGTCGTGGGCGTGTTGGGACCTGCCTGGGGGCCTGGATGAGCCTCTCGGACGCACTATTGACGCGTCCTGGGGGCCCGTTCGGGGGCCCCTTGCGGGCCTCTTGGGGGCCTCTTGGGGCGCCTTGGGAGCTTTTCGATCACTGCGAGCCTCGTGGGGCTCATTGGGAGCTTTTGGGGGGCCTCTTGGGGCCTCTTGGGGGCCTCTCGGGAGGGCCTCTTGGGGCTCACTGGGGGCCTCTGGGGGGCCTCCCGGGGGCCCCCGCTGCTTCCAGGGCCCAGGCTAGGGCCGGCAGCGGCGGCCCCGAGATCTGCAGCGCGTCGACACCCCACGGGGCCCCGGCGCCCCACCTTTCCCTGGCATCGCTCGGACGTGTGCATTTTTTTCCTCCGCGAGGACCATGGAGGAGCATCCTGGAGGACTTAGCGAAAAAAAACGCGCACGAAATCGAAAAATACACGAAGAGTGGACGTCCGAGCGATGACAAGTTTCGGCCCAGGAGGACGCGCGCGGCTTCGGCCTCGAGCGCCAGCGCAATCCACCAGCGTTATGGCAAGTCGGGCCTGTCCCCCCTACAGGAGGAATGTTCACGACTGGTTTTTGAAAAGCACAGTCGGGTGACGACCTGTCGGGCTCTTGTGACTCTTCTTCAGCATTTCTGGAGAAATGTTATCTTTATTACAGACTCCGCCTGTAGTCCGAGGCCCGAAAGCCATCACGTCACTAATGTTGGGCCCCAAGGTCCACTGAGGCCCCAGGGGCCCCAGATTAGTGAAGTGATGTTTTTTTTTCCGACGTAGGGACCCCGAAATTCATCGCTTCACTAAACCGAGCCCAGGACTACAGTCTGGGGTCGAATTGCTGCTGTGATGCAACATAGGTCTCGTTTGTAGGAGGGCATGCCCGACCTAATACCAGCGATGCAGCGACGAGTGCAGGCCAAAGGCTCCCAGCAGGACCAGCGCGCGGACGAGCGCCTGCGCGAGTGGGTGCTCGCGGTGCTGGCGAGGGGAGCGGGCAGCAAGAAGAGGGCGCCCGAGCCGCCCATCGGCGGCGAGCGAGGGGGGAACCGAGAAGGCGAAGGCCTTCTCGGAAGGCGGCGGGACTTCTCAGAAGCGCCCCCCGCCTCCTCCTGGGAAGTTGTTGTCCGTGCCGTTTCCGCCTCTTCGGGGGAGGCCCAGACGATTTCTCAGAAGGCCAGGGGGGGGCTTCCGAGCCCTCGGATCGGGGGTCAGTGCAAACGGGGGCCAGTCAGAGCGCCAGATCCTGCAGGATCCCGCAGCGCCAGGGGTGCATTGACCGGGCTTTGGGCGCAGGACCTTGCAGGGCCTGCCTGACTCGGGTCGGAAGTTCCCCGATCTGAGCAGGCCCGCCCCTTCTGTAGGCCTCCCAAGTGGGGTCCGAGCAGACGGGGTCGGAGGATCCAGCCGCATCGCCGATGCATCGCCGCTGCGGCTCCATGTGGAGCCCGATGTTCCCCACGCCGACGTCACAGATGCATCGCCGACTTCGCGGATGCATCCCGACGATGCGTCGGCGATGCGGCTGGATCCTCCGACCCCGTCAGCTCGGACCCGTCTCGGAGGCCCCTGCCTTCGCGCCTCTCTCCCCCGGGCTGGCCGCCGAGCCCAGGGACCCGCCCGTGCTGGACTGGATCGGGCGGCGGTGGCTGCTGCTGGACCGCCCGGGCGCACCGCCTACCCAGGGAGGCGCGGCTGCTGACGATGGCCGGGGCCAGTCCCTCGAGGATCGAGGGGGGCGCAGACATCCTTTCGGATGCAGTTCCTGGGAGGTCAAATTCTGTTTTCGCCCTGGTCCGAAATCCGGCTTAATCCAGCTTAATCCCGTTTAATACGGCTTAATCCCGCTTAATCGGGCTTAATCCTGCTTAATCCGAGGCCCACTCCGGCGTAATAGCTCACAAATGGGGCTTCCGACGAAAACCTTCCAGTAGTTGCCTCCTAACATCCTCGTGACCCGCAAGGTGGTCCAACTGCAAGGGGCTGGTGCAACAGGCTTGGGGCACTTGTATTGCACATGTATTGCGCCAGAGAGTTGTTCTACGCTGTATTGCAAGTCATGTGTTGCGCGCGAAAATTCGGCAATTCATTTGCGCACCGACATTCACGGCACACCCCAAATTTATTGCAACCGTGCAAATCTACTGCACCAGATCTATTGCACCATCCCCCTCTCGACGGTAGGTCGACGACGGTACACGATTTCCCGCCGATCCGACTCCTTTAGATCGCCGATTCGATCCTGGGCTCTCCTGTACTGACCCGTGCTTGGGTGCAGGATCCTACAGGATCTTGCAGGATCGTGCCAGGCCTGACGGACCCGGGCCTGGACTGCCCCAGGCCCCAGACCCCCGACGCCGTGCTTTCTTCAGGACGCGTCGCGCCCCAAAGGTCCGGACCCACCCCCCGGGGATCGGCTCTTCGTCCCGAGCAGTTGTTTGACGGTCCGGACATAGCGGCAGACCTCACGCCCCGATGTGTTCGCGACGCGAGGGGGTCCGGGTCCGGAGGTCCCCGAGCTCAGCAGAGCTCCGAGCGTTTTTTTTCTCCCCCCGTTCGCCCCCGCGTGTGTCCCCCCCGAGTGCCGGGTGCGGCCCGCCGGCCAGCCGTCAACGCAGGACAGGCGCTCCAGAGAGGAGGTTCGCCTTGAAGCACATCGCTGGGATATGTGCCTGGAGGGTTTCTCCGAGGGGCTTAGGAGACCCGTCCTCCTCCTCCTCCTCCTCCTCCTCCTCCTCCTCCTCCTCCTCCTCGGATCGCCTACGGCCTCGGGGGAAACCGTGCAGGTGGCATCTTCGACCATCGGGCCAACAACAAAAGCACGCACGAAACCGAACAGTGCACAGGAAGTGGGCGTCCAAGCGACGGCGAGGAGAGGAGGCTCGTGGGCGAGAGACATATATCCGTAGCCGCGGGCGCGCTCCTGGGCCACGGCCCTGCGGATGCGCAGCGTGTTTTTTCCCGCGCGGAGCGCATCCCCGTACGACCGCGTATCCGCGGCCTCGCGCCCCAGGACCCAGACCGCGAGGGCGCGGGTGTGGATACGCTCGCCGCTCGTGGAATGCCCCCGAGATCGAAAGATACGAACGACTGCATCAACATCAACCTCCGGAGCCCCACGCGGATTTCCTGGACTGCGCTGGAGGCCCCTGGAGGCGCCCCCGGCGCCGCCCCTGGCGCGCTCCGTGCGCCGGGAAGGGCCGCATTAGCGCAGATCCAAGGAATCGGCGCGGACCTCCAAGAGTTTCTGTCTTTGTTGTACCTTCGGTCCTGATGGGCCAATGTCCCACCACCACTACCATAGGTTGGACGGGGGAGAGATCAGGGTGACGGGGAGGTCCCCCTCCTCCTCCTCCTCCTCCTCCTCCTCCTCCTCCTCCTCCTCCTCTCGGGCCGGGCGAAAGGGGGGGATTGGGAAAGGGGGGGTTACGAAATTTGCTGCACGCAGCTGGTTTCGGCCTCACCGAGGTGCCCATTCCTTGATACATGGCCGCCTCGGGCGCTGGGAGGCGCCGGGAAAATCAGCTACGCGAGCTGATTCTCAAACCCCCCCTTTGCTATCCCCCCCCTTTCGCCCGACCCGATCCTCCTCCTCCTCCCTCCTCCTCCTCCTCCTCTTCCTCCTCCTCCTCCTACTCTCCTCCTCTCCTCCTCCTCCCCCCTTCTCCTCCTCCTCCTCCTCCTCCTCCTCCTCCTCCTCCTCCTCCTCCTCCTCCTCCTCCTCCTCCTCCTCCTCCTCCTCCTCCTCCTCTCCTCCTCCTCCTCCTCCTCCTCTCTCCTCCTCCCCTCCTCCTCCTCCTCCTCCTCTTCCTCCTCCCCTCCTCCTCCTCCTCCTCCTCCTCCTCCTCCTCCTCCTCCTCCTCCTCCTCCTCCCCCCTCTCTCACCTATGGTAGTCGTGGTGGAACATCGGTCCATCAGCTCCGTCCTGTGCGGGAGGAGGTCGTGGGCAGGGTCGTGGCCGTCATGGGCGCGGACCGCGCGACGGCCCTGACGCAGGAGCGCTGCTGCGAGGCGGGGCTCGAGGTAAACTGCAGGTCGGGCGCGTCCCTCTGCAGGAGGAGTATTCGATAGTGGTACAACAATAGTCTGGGGACGATTATTGGAGCATGTGTTGACTATGTATGGTTTTGTTCAGATTTCTCTTAGATTGTTCCTCCAAGATCCGCCTGTAGGAGGACATGCCCGACCTGAAGCTAAGCGGTGTTTGGGCGATGTCGTAGACCGTTTGCGTTCTGACCTCGTCTCGCAGCAGGGGCAGAACGCAGGCCAGAACGACGGATAACGCGAGAAGGACGGCCAAAAGAAGGAGCGAGAACGCAACAAACACTGCTCCGCTCGAGCCCTGCTGCCAGGCGCTGCGGCAGCTCGTCACGGACCAGGCCTCCCTCGCGACGGTCGCGGCGTTGCGCGGGGCGGAGGCTGATGGGCCCATTTCCCACCACCGCTGCCGCAGGTAGGAGGAGAAGGACGTAGGTAGAACGAGCTGGACGACGAGGAGGAGGAGGAGGAGGAAGAAGAGGAGGAGGAGGATGAGGAGGAGAAGGAGGAGGAGGAAGAGGAGGAGGAGGAGAAGGAGGAGGAGGAAAAGGAAGAGGATGAGGAAGAGGAGGAGGAGGAGGAGGAGGAGGAGGAGGAAGAGGATGTGGAAGAGGAAGAAGAAGAGGATGAGGAAGAGAAAGAAGAGGAGGAGGAGGAAGAAGAGGGGGAGGAGGAGGAGGAAAACCGCCAGCGGAAAACTTTGGCCCATCCGAGGCGGCGGCCTCGGCGATGCGCGTCCACGCCGACGCGCCCGGGGTGCAGGGCCACTGCAGCGGGGCGCTCGCGCACCTGTCCCTCGCCCCCGGGGGCCGCCGCCGCGTGCTCGCCGCCGGCGGCGCAGAGGCGCGGGGCCACGCTGCCAGGGCTCGACTTCGACCTAAGTCGGGCGTGTCCCTCCACAGGTGGAATACTCAATACATGCAGTGCGGGCGCGGCCGCAAGAACCCGTCGCAAGAAACCCAACCCTGAACACCCGCGCGTGAAGTGCACCGGAGGGGAACCCTGGAGCTTTCTGGACGCAGCAGCTCCTTCAACGGCCGCGGGAAGTCGCCGCGCCGCGCGCGGAGCGAAGAAACCAAGGATACCGTGACGAAACGCATATAGTTTCTTGATGCGCGCCCCCACTGTATATATATATATATATATATATATACATATCCCTGGGGGGGAGGCCGGGGGCCCCAGGACAGGTGCCTCCACCCCCCATGGCGGGACCGGGGCTCATTTTCCCTGTGTTTTTACAGGGTTTCCGCGTCCTGGGCCTCGGAGGCCGCCGCCTCCGACCCCCCATGGGCCAGGAGGGCCTCCAGAGGCTCCCAAGACGGCCCAAGCGGGCCCCGAGTCGCCGAAAGACCGCTCCAGGACGCCCAAGGTAGGCCCAAGACGGCCCGAGAGGCGCACCAAGGCACTCCACGACGCTTCAAGACGCCTCTCCAGAGCGCTTCCAGAGGCCGAAATCGTCAATTTTACCAAGGTTTTCGACCGATTTTGGCCTTCCAGCCTTTTCGGCTGTCCGACGTTCCAAGATGGCTCAATAGGCCCCCAAGAGCGCCCCAAGACGGCCCAAGAGGGCCCCAAGACGGCCCCAGAGTCGCCCAAGACAGCCCAACAGAGCCCCAAGACGGCCCCAAGATGCGCCCAAGAGGGGGACCACGACTCCAAAATTCGACCCTCCGGCTTGAAGAGTGCCCCAGGAGGCCCCAAGGAGCCCCCAAGAGGCCCCAGGATGCCCCCAACAGGCACCCAGGAGGCCCAAACGATGCCTACAGAGGCGACAAAACAGCCCCGAGGAGGCCCCACAACGGTCCCAAAACGGCTACCGAGAAGCTGCGAAACTGCCTTCACGACGTCCCCGACAGGCCAACCACGAGATCCAAAGCAACACCCATGAGGCCTCTGACCCACCACCCAGGGCACGGTGGCGGCAGCAGTGACAGCACTTGTGCACAGCATGTTCCGGCGGGAGCCTTCCGGAACACGCTGCAGGGGGAGGAGGAAGATCAGGAGGAGAGAGAGCTGGAGTGGGAGGAGGAGGAGGAGGGACGAGGAGGAGGAAGAGGCCTCCCAGACAGCTCCAAGATAGCCGAAGAGGCTTCCAAGAGGGCCCTGGGCGGCCCACGAGGGCCCCAAGGCGGTGCCTGAGGCGCCCAAGACGGCCCGAGAGGGCCCCAAGACGGCCCCAAGAGAGGCCCAAGAAGGGAAACATGAACCGAGAATCCGAGCTTTCTACCCCGAGAGGTCTCGGGAAGTCCCAAGAGGCCCCCAATCGGATCCAAGAGGCCCCCAAGAAGCTCCCAAGAGGGCCGACGAGGTTCCAAGAGATCTCCCAAGGTGGCCCCAAGAGGCGCAACACATTGTTTTACGATTGGGCTTTGACGTTTTTGTTCCTGCCTTTTGGCATCCCGATGCTCCAAGATGGCCCAAGAGGCTTCCAATACCGCTCCCATATAGAGGAAGAGGCCTCCAAGAGGGCCCCAAGACGGCCCGCGAGGGCCCCAAGACGGTGCTTGAGGCGCCCAAGACGGCCCGAGAGGGCCCCAAGAGCCCCAAGAGAGGCCCAAGAAGGGGAACGCGACCCAACAGCAGAGCGGTCCCCCCACAAGGCCCACAGGAGGCCGCAAGAGGCCCCCAAGTGGTCCGACGAGGACCCCAAAAGCTTCCCCGAGGGCCTAAAAGGCCACCAGGAGACGTCCAAGAGGCTTTCAAATAGCCCAAGAGTGCCCTCGATGCGTCAAAACTGCTTCCAGGAGGCCCCTGGGAGGCTTCCGGATTGCCTCAATCTGGCCGCAGGTGGCCTCAAGTCGGGCCTCCACGCAGCCAAGACGGCCAATGACGGCTTCAGATTGCAGAACCGATGCCCCCAAGGGACCCTCAGACGCCCCCCCAAGAAGCACCCAAGAGGTGCCTCCAACAGCCAGTTGACGAAGCATGCGGAACACCCCAGAAGATCCTCAGATGCCGTCGCGCGCCTGTGCTTGATAGCGTTGTCCAAGATCGTCCAGCGCCCCCCGGCCTGGGCTAGAACCTGAGCGCGCGCGAAGCGCGCGCGATGGTTCTAACCCAGGGGCCCGAAAACAGCTGCCCGACCCTCCATGCGAGTACCGGGGCTCATTTTCGCTGTGTTTTCACGGGGTTTCGGCGTCCCGGGCCTCGGAGGCCGCCGCGATGGTCCCGGACATTTTCCAGATCCTCGGCGCGGGCTCCAAGACCATTCCGCAGAGGGCTCCAACAGGCTCCAGGGCAGCCCAAGAGGGCTCCAAGACGGCTCCAGAAACGACTGCAGGGTCTCATTTTTTTGTTTTTTGCAAGACGGCTCCAGGAAGACCGCATGTCTTCTGAGGATGGCTTCCCCCTCTTGCTCCGAGCATCCCAAACTGCCTGAACGGTTCCCACTCGCCTTACTCAAACCCAGCGCTTGCCCAAAGGCGTTCCGCACGGTTTTCGCCGGAACGCGCTGGAATGATCACGCGTTGCGGTTTCCCATGCCAACGTCCTCGGACGTGGGCGCCCTGCCACGAGCGCGTTCCGGGAAGATGCTCTTGGAACGCGCTGAAAAGATATGGCCACATCTCGGGGACGCTCCCGGCACTGCTGCCCCAGCCTTTCTGGGCAGCCTCCACAGCGCTCCAGGAGGGCCCAAGACGCCCCCTAGGAGCCCCCAGAATGCGAAAGGATGGCCCAAGACGCTCCCGAGCAGCCCAAGTCAGCCTTCCGACGGCTCTCGAGGCTCCCAAGTGGCCTCCAAGAGACCCCAAGAAGTCTGATAGGTATGGCGGTACGGCACAGAGAGGCCAAAATCGTATATGTTCAATGTTCTTTTCAATGTTTTTGGCTTCTCGCGTTTTCGAGCTCCCATCGGTCCAAGAGCGCCGAAAAGCCTCCATGGGGGTACTGGGGCTCATTTTCCCTGTGTTTTTTAAAGGGTTTCCGCGTCCTGGGCCTCGGAGGGCGCCGCCTCCGACCCCCCATGGGAGGAGGGGCGGCCGGGGAGGTCCAAAATAGTCCAGGAGGGCCTCCAGAGGCTCCCAAGACGGCCCAAGCGGGCCCCGAGTCGCCGAAAGACCGCTCCAGGACGCCCAAGATAGGCCCAAGACGGCCCGAGAGGCCCCCCAAGGCACTCCACGACGCTTCAAGACGCCTCTCCAGAGCGATTCCAGAGGCCGAAATCGTCAAGTTCACGAAGGTTTTCGACCGATTTTGGCCTTCCAGCCTTTTCGGCTGTCCGACGTTCCACGACGGCTCAATAGGCCCCCAAGAGCGCCCCAAGACGGCCCAAGACGGCCCCAAGACGGCCCCAGAGTCGCCCAAGACAGCCCAACAGAGCCCCAAGACGGCCCCAAGATGCGCCCAAGAGGGGGACCACGACTCCAAAATTCGACCCTCCGGCTTGAAGAGTGCCCCAGGAGGCCCCAAGGAGCCCCCAAGAGGCCCTAGGAGGCACCCAAGAGGCACCCAGGAGGCCCAAACGATGCCTAAAGAGGCCACAAAGCAGCCCCGAGGAGGCCCCACAACGGTCCCAAAACGGCTACCGAGAAGCTGCGAAACTGCCTTCACGACGTCCCCGACAGGCCAACCACGAGATCCAAAGCAACACCCATCAGGCCTCTGACCCACCACCCAGGGCACGGTGGCGGCAGCAGTGACAGCCTTTGTGCACAGCATGTTCCGGCGGGAGCCTTCCGGAACACGCTGCAGGAGGAGGAAGATCAGGAGGAGAAAGAGAGAGCTGGAGTGGGAGGAGGAGGAGGGGGACGAGGAGGAGGAAGAGGCCTCCCAGACAGCTCCAAGATAGCCGAAGAGGCTTCCAAGAGGGCCCTGGGCGGCCCACGAGGGCCCCAAGGCGGTGCCTCAGGCGCCCAAGACGGCCCGAGAGGGCCCCAAGACCCCAAGACGGCCCCAAGAGAGGCCCAAGAAGGGAAACATGAACCGAGAATCCGAGCTTTCTACCCCGAGAGGTTCTCGGGAAGTCCCAGGAGGCCCCCAATCGGATCCAAGAGGCCCCCAAGAAGCTCCCAAGAGGGCCGACGAGGTTCCAAGAGATCTCCCAAGGTGGCCCCAAGAGGCGCAACACATTGTTTTACGATTGGGCTTTGACGTTTTTGTTCCTGCCTTTTGGCATCCCGATGCTCCAAGACGGCCCCGAAGGCTTCGAAGAGGCCTCCAAGAGGGCCCCAAGACGGCCCGCGAGGGCCCCAAGACGGTGCTTGAGGCGCCCAAGACGGCCCGAGAGGGCCCCAAGAGCCCCAAGAGAGGCCCGAGAAGGGGAACGCGACCCAACAGCAGAGCGGTCCCCCCACAAGGTCCACAGGAGGCTGCAAGAGGCCCCAAAGTGGTCCGACGAGGACCCCAAAAGCTCCCCGAGGGCCCAAAAGGCCCCTGGGAGACGTGCAAGAGGTTTTAGAATAGCCCAAGAGAGCCCCAAATGCATCAGAACTGCTTCCAGGAGGCCCCCGGGAGGCTTCCAGATTGCCTCAATCTGGCCGCAGGTGGCCTCAAGTCGGGCCTCCACGCAGCCAAGACGGCCAATGACGGCTTCAGATTGCAGAACCGATGCCCCCAAGGGACCCTCAGACGCCCCCCCAAGAGGCACCCAAGAGGTGCCTCCAACAGCCAGTTGACGAAGCATGCGGAACACCCCAGAAGATCCTCAGATGCCGTCGCGCGCTTGTGTTTGATAGCGTTGTCCACGATCGTCCAGCGCCCCCCCCCCGGCCTGGGCTAGAACCTGAGCGCGCGCGAAGCGCGCGCGATGGTTCTAGTATATACATATAACGGCGCACCGGGTCCGGGGGCTCGGGGCCGGGACCCCGACCGCAAATGTGGGCCCCGGGGGGCCCGGAGGC